GTTGATGGGAATCTCCAGTGGGCGATGGAGTCTGCCTGGGAGGCCCTGAAGTGGGTTGCTGTCAATGTGGGGGACCGGCGCTTGGTTAGAGGTCCTAGATGGATGTCAGTCTGGCTCTGCTCCTGAACTTCTGTATGACTGTGTCTGTACAGGCATGTGCATGTATGCCAGTGTGTGTGTGTGTGTGTTTCATGCTTGGCTGAGTGTGTGTCTCCATGTATGTGCATGTCTGGGTGTGAATGAGTGTAAGTTTGTATGTATGCCCATATGCCTGTTTGTAAGTCAGAATCACATAACCTTCCCATCGCAGTTTCTTCACCTGAAGAATGTGGAAACTATAGTATCTTTGTTTGTTTTTGTTTTTTTGAGATGGTTTCTCTGTGTAGCCTTGGCTGTCCTGGAACTCACTCTGTAGACCAGGCTGGCCTCAAACTCACAGAGGTCCACCTGCCTCTGCCTCCTGAGTACTGGGAGTAAAGGTGTGTGCCACCACTGCCTGACTGGAAATCATTATGTCTTAATGGGGTTGTTTTGCTTTTTTCACTGGAAATCCTTTTATTTAAGCAAGATTTGAAAGTAAAGACAGAGACACGTAAGCTTTCATGCAGATGAGACAGCCCAACACCACAGGTCACAGAGGTAAAGGAAAGAGAAGGTGGGAGTTGAAGATAAACCAAGGCAGAGGACACAAGTCTTTGATTTTAGTTTCCCCAAAGTTGAACCCAGAAGCAAAAAGTTTCTACAGTCAGGAGGTTTATATAAATTACACGGATTGCAACATCTGTAAAAGTCAAAATGAGATGCTCTGCACGGAACAAAAGATATGCCTAAGTGACATGTCACATTTGTACAAGGCCACCAAAAGACATGAAGATTAATAACGAAAAGAGAAGCTTAGTTCTGTAGCAGTCTGAGTAGAGTCCAGCATGATATTCCAATAAGTTCAAGACTGGAAACTATTCTACAAAAGCAGCAAGGGTGGGCAGCTTGCGTGGGAAGACGTGCACTCCTGGTGGGTACATTATCCACTTTCTAATAAGGGGGGATTCATACAGACTTCTGTAAAAGTTTCCACAAAACCAGTGCATTTTCAACAGAGGGCTCTCCCATCGCCAGTGCACAAGCACACACACACTCGTGTCTTCAACAGAGAGGGCTCTCCCATCACCAGTGCACAAGCACACACACACTCGTGTCTTCAACAGAGAGGGCTCTCCCATCGCCAGTGCACAAGCACACACACTCATGTCTTCAACAGAGAGGGCTCTCCCATCGCCAGTGCACAAGC